GAAGGCTAGAGTCCTAAAAACCCAAGGGGAAAATGAACAAAGAGGCAAGATAACCATGGATATTGACAGTGAACCAAACGTGGTTGGAGATGGAAAGAGTGGAACAAGGAAAGGTAAGATAGATGGAAAGGTGCTTTACTCCAGATTTCAAGGTATAGAAGAAGAAAAGAGAAGAATTGATGGACTTAAGGAGAGAAACTTTGACAATAACACTACTGATAACCAAAGATAAGCTGATTAAAGAAGCTGATGGAGGGTTTCGAGATTTTACAAGATATATAGTAAGCAACAAGTTGCGAAGAGAAGTCCAAACAAATTTGATTAAGGAAATAACCAGAAGACTAATTCCACAAATGGCAAAAGAAATAGGACTACACTATTACTGGAAAGGCACAGGTTGAGATATGACAATTAATAATAAAACACTAGTTAAATTTAGTTAAAATTAGATCATTATGTTAAAGATGTAGTGATAATGGATAAAGTTAGATAAATAATTGATAATGATAACAATGTATACATATATATTGGCTTGATAAGAGGAAATTTGGTTTAAATTTTAAATGGTGAAAAAAGGGGGAAACGTAAGTTAAACAGTCAAATTATTGTTAAATAAATGACTGATAATGATAATAATGTAATAATTTGTATTGATATGATAAAAGGGAAATTGGATATAAATTGTAAACAACGATTAAGAAAAGAGGTCTAAAATTTTGTTATTAAATATAATTAACTTTAATTTTGAATGTGATAAAGGTATAATGTGGCTGGATGATATTGAAAATAGATAACGGAATGCCATTATGTGGTTTTGTTTTAAATTTTGCAATGTTTGTTATACAGGGATGTTAAAACAACTATAGTCATATGAAGGATGAAGTATGATGAAAGCAATATATATAAATATATGTGATGTAAAATATATAACTTGATATGAATCATAGGTGATGACACTTTCTATAATTTGTAATGGAAGATGATTTAAGGTGTTTGTTTGTGTTTATTCAAAAAATAAAAAATATATAAAAAATCAATATTGACTTGATGACACATAATGAATAATCAATTAAAAAACCATATGAGGTAACTTTTATTCCTAATTTCAACACAATTTAAATACTGTTAGCTTTATTAATTTATCGTATAGACTTGATACTAACAATGCAGAGATAGCCTCTATCCTAGACAAATTTCATAGATTCCTTATGAATTGCACAAGTATTTGTTGCTGTAAATAAAATACAAATTCAGTAACAATTCTCCAAGGGCCTGAAGAAATATATATTAATAAGTCATGACATCTTGCAACCCTATCACTGCACTAAGTGCATATCAATTGAATCAAGTTTCTGTAATATCTTTTAAAATATCATTCAGAATTTGTTATGATACAGTATGTCTCACTTTTTCATTGAGGAATATTTTTTACTTTTTCTTTGGGAATAATTACTACCTGAAGATATGGCAAATTTCAAGATTCAACAAATATTTTACAAAGGGAAATGATCCACAGAAGGCTAACATCATATGATAGTATTTATTCCTCTGTAATATTCAGCTGGCTGCCTGCTCCTTACTCTTTCAGATTCTGTGATCTCTGTGCTTTAAAATTGATTGATCTTATATTCTGTCCTTATTTAAGGGACTGTTTCTACTTTTGTGCCATTTCTTTTTGTAATTACTGAGTGGCATTGGTGTTTTATTTCTGTGTATTCTATGCATTTTAAACTTGTTTTTATATTTGATTCATGGCTAACCACTTTGAGTGAGTGCTTGGTTGGAAAAGAAGAAAGAAAATATTTATATAAATAAAGTCATGTTCTATTACCCTCATAGATGGTTTCTTTACTTTAGTTGAAATAATTTGATGCTTAATGAGATCAGGTACGTGTGTTAATTTCTCCAAAGAGTACATTAATTCATTTCAACAAATGTATCCACTTTGACAGCAAAGCAGGGCCTCAACATTTAACAATACATCTGCAAGTGATTTCATTCCATCAAACCCAAGATGCACTTATGTGCTATAGCTATTACACATGAATCTAAATTACAAAACATGAAAGAGCTTCAAAGCAAATCTTAATCTAAGTATCCTGATCTTGATGACTTGGTTTTTATAGGAAAGATACTTAAAAGGGGGAAAAAACAATTCTTATAGAATCCAGAACAATACTTAAATTAAACAATTTTAATTTGCTCCAATAAATTAAATGCACCAACCTGAGGATTTGAGCATTTTACTTCAAGTGATTCAAGGTCAACATGAAGACATACAACAAATGAGTGCCTGGATTCTGATCCTGCAGTGGGCAACACTTGTGAAGTAACTGCCAGAGTAGAAGTGCAGCCAACAGGTTCTATGATATTAAGAGTCAATTGCTGCCCCAGGAGCGTATAGATGCTGAAATAATTCAGACTGATTGTCCAAGGAAAAGCATCTCCTGGTTAATCAAAAGGAAAGGAAGAACAAAAGTAAAATAGGTATATAAAGGAATAATTCCATTAGTTTTATTTTAAAACTAAAATATTTCTGGATTATTCTTTTACAAAACTAATAAAAGTCTAGTTCTAGTATTTAGTGATACTATTCAAGTGCACATTCTATGTTATGTAACACAGAGGTGCTACATTTTAATTTCTTTCTCAGATATAATATATATCATACAATGCACACATCATGAATATGCACAATTATATTCTTTGCATCTAACTACACTGTATTGTTGGGTTTAATATTGCCAAAACTGAGCAATTTTAAATTATTTTTTCACTGGGAGACTTAAACCTAATCTATATAAAAGATTTAATATTAATTTGGCTTTTCTTGATCATGCCCTTTGATGTTTATCTTTTGCTAGAAGAGACAATGTTAATTACTGGGATTCAGAAACAGATAAAAATATCTTAAATGAGTAATACTCATTTTGAGTAATACTTTACTAAGGTGACAGTGTAGTCCAGAAGTGGGGTTCAAATCCCAGCGCTACCAGTTCGCTCGTGTTTGCATGCACGCTCATGCTCGTGATGCTATTGCGCCTGCATAGAAGCATCTGGGCAGGTGGGTGGAGCCTCCCACCACTGCCAATACTGGTTTGGCCGATCTAGGAGCAACCCACCTCTGGAGTAGTCACTAACTTTCATGTAAAAGAAATAAAAGAAAAAAGCAATATCTTCCATTTTCCTAATGCTCTTTTGTTTAACTATAGGAGGTGTTTACATGGGTATATTTTAAGTACAGCAATTATATTCATAACACTCTAAGAGGAAGCATGATATTCTGAGAGAAGGATAATTCAATTCTGATACAGGAGAGCCCTGATATGATGAGTCTTGGTTGTATATGTGGGAGCAAAAGATGTTTAGATAAAGATGCTTTAAAAATGCATTTGGTTTTGAATAAATTTCCCAGTTAGGAAATTGATGCAGATGCAATGAACAAAACACTATGATTGTTATTATTTCGAAATAAATTAATGAATGAAGCAGAACTAAATTCCTTTTCTGAATACTGAATACTGAAATTCTATATAGTAAGTGATATCAATATCGTAGACACTTTCCATATTTACAAGAAGAACTAGTAATAGAAGTTGACATCAGAACAGCACTCCACTCATTACCAAATTGGAAAGTTACAGAAAATAATGGAACATCTACAAAAATAAGGCAAGTAACAAAAAATAATCAGTAAAGATAAATGTTTTTAACTGTCATGTTGGAGAACACCATGGATAGTCAAAAAATGAACAAATGGTTCATCATACAAACTCAGAGTTCTCAATGACTAGGCTTAAATTATCCTAATTTATATACATTTTGTAAAAACATAACTCTTCAAAGAAGACTATGAGGAAAGTAGCTGTCTATGAAAGAGAGATAGAAAAGAGGAAAGACAACTATTAGGCCCATAAAGTAGATGGGCTCAATTATAATATATATAGGTATGATGCTGGAGGATCTGAAAAACCAAATTGGGGGCAGATTGCCCAGGAGAAAATGCAGAGGGGGTATTCAACAGGTTCTGACCAGTTCTGGAGAACCGGTAGTGAAAATTTTGAGTAGTTGGAGAAGCAGTAAATACCACCTCTGACTGGCCCCACCCCCATCTATTCTCTGCCTCCTGAGTCACAGCTGATAGGGAAGAAATTGGGATTTTGCAATAACCTTCCCCTGGAGGGAGGAAATGGAGATTTTACAGTATCCTTCCTCTGCCACGCCCATAAAGCCATGCCATGCCCAAGCCACACCCACAAAATTGGTAGTAAAAAAAATTGAATCCCACCAATGAAATGTATTTATGTGTTTGCTAAGAATTAAACTATCTGATGGCACATAATCCATAAATAGGGTCTTTAAACCTATTACTGAGAGTTAATTTACAGAGGTTTACAAGATTAGAACTTCTAAGACACAAGTGAGTACCAAAATTGTCGGTTTAGTATTTATTTAGCACAACAGTCCAAGAAAAACATGGCTAGGCAATATACTTTTTAAATTCAAACTGTAAGTACAAATACAACAACAGTGGATAAATTCCTCTAAAATTAAGATTTAGTATTATAGAAAAATGGTTGTGAAAGGAATTGGTCAAGACTTAGAATGCACCTGAAATAATATCAAAAATTTTAATAAGTCTAATTACTTAGTGATCCCAGAAATCTGAATGTGAAATTTCCTGAATCCAGGAAATTATCACTTCATATAATCTGATATAATCTGTTTTCTCTTCTTTTCTCTAGGAAGTCTCTATGAGAATCAGTCTTAAAGGACTGGTAAGTTAACCTCAGAAGGAGAAGGAAATTGTCTTTACATAATAATACAGGCAAATATTATTCTTGGGTTTCCTTACTAGAGGTAAAAGTATTAGGTTACATTTAACTAGGTATGCATGTTTTTTTATCCCATGGGGATCACTGGGGTTTAGCTGGAGATGAAAACATTTGTTGCTCACAAATATGGTCAAATATGATCCATTCATAAAATATTAGGCTTAAAACTATGACTAGGAAAAAAATATCATGTTGATGTCATAATGGTCACAGAGACTCACTCCAGTTTAATTACTAGGAATATTTCATTTGAAATTCAGTCAGTGGCAAACACACAGTTATTTTCCAACTGTTTTGTTATTTATTTATTTATTTATTGGATTTATAGCCCATCTTTCTCCTCAAGCAAATATTCAACATGGTTTAAAAAGATATATTAGGACATGTTATGTGATATATTTTTAAATTTATAAAATGAGAAATTTGATTTTCTTCAACAACAATCCAACAGATCAATCAGACTAAAAGGAATGGTTTCAATTGAATTTTCCTCTGTAGGAATGGTTGGTGAAGATGATAGAACTTGCTGAGAGGGACAAATTAATGTATTTGATTATAGAAAAGACAGTATGCTTACTGCTGACTGGAAACCCCCTATGAATTTTTTGCATAAAATGGGGAAAAAATGAACCTATGCTTTTAATGATTTTTAGGATAGATTACAGATAGAAGATACATTTTAAGATAAAGATAAATTAAAATTATAACCACTTTAAAGAAGAGTGGAAGCCACTTCTTTATATTTTTTCCTTTCTTTTTTACCTTTCCTACTTTTTTCTTTTTTCTTTTCTTTTTGTACATTAGCTTCCTCTTTTATTTATTTTTAATTTTTTCCTTATTCTAGTTTGCATTTATTCTTGTTTTAAACTTTCAATAAAATTGTATTTTAAAAAGGATATGTTAGAATATGTGATGTGATACGTTCAAGTGTATCCCAAAATTTTAAATTTACAAAATGAGGCACTATTAACAGTGTTTAGTCTAACCTCGTTCACTGTAGTATGGTCTTCCATAACATTTCTGTAATGTAGTAATATATCGTTAACAGAATTTAGTTTCTGAGCAGAGGGGGTGAGTATGAAAAATATGAAATATGCTAGTCACAGTTCACCTCAAGTATAGTGCTACTGCAAGGACATTAAAATAAAGGCATTGATTGCATGGAGATATCTGGGTTTAATTCTTGGTGTGTGTGTGGAGGGGGCGGGTTCCTTCGTGCTCTCTGATCATGGTTGTTTTCTTAGATGTTTCATTACCAAAGTGCTGAACACTGAGAATGTTACCTAGTTTGGGTAATGAAACATCTGCAAGAAAACAACCAAGTTCAGAGAACACCCATTTCAATCCCACGCTACAAATATTCTCCTTTATTTAATTCTTGTGTCACACAAAGAGCATTATAAAAAATAAAAACAAAAATGGTTTAAAAAGCAAGTAATAAAAAAATAGCTGATCAAGCATTTAAAAAGAATGAAGCATTTTGAAAAGAGGAAAGAAGAATGTTGATATCAAGCTACATGATTCATCTTAGAAAATAGTACCTCATTATAATACTCCTCTTAAAATTTGATATCTCTTACCTTCTTCAAGTATTGGTCTTGGCACAACAAAGGGAATCTCTTGGAGGGGTTCCATGTACTTGTGCCCAGCACTCATAATCTTTAGAAGGGGTAAGCAAATGACAAGAGTTCCAGGCATACTAGTCTGCCCATGATACCAACTACGGACAGTGCCAGGAATATCACCAGACACAATAGTACTGGGAGATGGCAGGCTGTCATTGGGAATGAACACGCAACATGACTGCACTTCCATCTGAAAGACAAAAACAGCTGTTTTTTAAAACAAAAATTCATAAGGATGAAAGGCAATATATTTAGTGTGGTCCTAGATCTAAGCTTCATAAGAAAACAAGCATCAAAATTGGTTACTAGATTTTTTTAATGCTTAAATTAAAAAAAAGATAATAACACCATGTGATCTATATTTTGTGTGTGTGTGTGTCAGTCAATACCTTAGAAAAATCCTACTAATTTATTCAGGAAACTAGCAGAAAAACATGCCTATCTGCCTTTTCACACATTTTTCCCAAGTAAGATGATTAACTTGTAAAGTATATTCACAGAAAATATGACCAAAAATATCCATTTGTAGTAAGTTTGTTAACTTCTAATAGCATAAACTGAGACTTCAGAACTGACTTAAATCTTGGTCAACTCTTGCTTCTTTTAGTGACAATGTTTCCATTTCTTTGAAGTTCACAGAGAATGACGTGTATTATGAAGAGTGCATCATTCTCAAGAAATGCAGCTAAAATACCACCTTTGTTACACTGCCAAATATTCTCATTATTGCCAAAACCACATACAGCTAGCACTGTTTGTATTCTGTAGCTATGTGCACATGGAATGTGATAACCAACATAATCTCCTGGGCAATTTAGCCTCATGTTTAGATTTAAAAAAACAACACCCCCTAAAACCAGAAAGCTTCCAGCTTTCCTCTTAACAGAAGAAAGAACTGAAAGTATCTAGGAAATCAAACTTCAGAGAAGAAAATGTGCATGCCATCTTTAAAAATAATATTTCCATTCAGGAATTGACATACCAACACATGTAGAATTCAAACAAACTATCTGCTACAGACTTAACAATTGTTGATGAGACAGACAAAATTCATAAAGAGTAAGTTACAACACACTCCTAAAAACCTTCTTTTGTCCTCATAAAGCTGATACCCAAATATAGAGGGCTGAGCACTAAATAATTTAAGTATTTGATAAACATGATCTAGATAATTCTATTTCAGGTTTGTTTCTCAGGTTACAGATAAGTAAAAATTGAATAAAGAACTATAGATAATTTATATTAATATTTTTAGAAAGAAAAGCTGGTAGTATTTTGAATAAGAGAGCTGTAAGTGAGACACACCAAATTTTGTATCTTGACCCAAGTGCAAGGATTGATCTAGGGAATCTGAGGTGGTCAAAATCCATACTTAGACTTGACAAGGGAAATTTGTGGATACCTGATCTACAGCCAAAGTGTTCATAGGATGTTCATAGGAGCCTCCCTATTAAGTGGGTAATTTGGTTAGAAGCAAAAAATAATCCAATTCAGCTGAGAATCCCCCCTAGTTTTCTCTATTAAGTTCTCTAAAATGTTTAGCAATAAGGTTGCTTTGTTAGCTTTTCCTCAAGTTTATATACCCAAAAAAATTGGGAAGTTTTATATATGACATAATAAGTTGGAATTTAAGATTAAATTGCATTAAATTGTGACATTTTTAGTAACACAAGTTCAGCTACAGCTAATGGATACTGCTCACTTCCTCTGATATTACTTCTGTTCATCCTAGCAACTTTGTAATTCTAATGTATGGAAATGCAGATGTTATGTCTTCACTCTCTTTTCCATTATATCATTAATATTGTTAGCCATACAGTAAGGAAAAATGATGGAGACATACTGAAATTTCCCCCGGTGCTGGGTGGGAAACTTGATTTCCTTCATCTATCAAATCAGTCACATTAAAAAAAGGATGCTTTCCTATGTTGCCACTGGCTGGAACTGACTCCTGCATATGTTCGGGTTTTGTTATACTTCTCCAAATAGAAAAGTTATAGAAATGTATTAGTTATGTTATCTGCATTTCCTTTAGTTATCCATAGGCTGCCATGGTCACAAACTTTATTTGCCTTATAAGAGAAGAAACTATTCTGAGCCAGATGGATTATGAGCTGCTCTTGCATAGCAATTCTTGCATTCACATTATTCCCTTTTCTTTGAGCGTGGAGATAGGGATGAGGATATTCCTGTTCTTCTTCTTAGAGTCTAATTCTATTTCTTATCTGAAAGCAACTCAAGAGTAAACCATGAAAGTAAGTATATATGTTCAGAAGACAACTATCCATAAAGCTGCTCACCTTGAGTATGTTTTAAATCCTTTGGTTAACTTAGATACTAACATTTAAAATAAGAATAGTATTTCAACTAGATTTTACTTTTATATTCTTATGAAATTACTGTCTAAAAATGAACTAGTTGCATATGCAATCCTCTAAAAGCAGGAATATATAAAATATTTACTGAGGTCACATATGATCCATTTTTTATGTAAAGGACAATAACTTTGCTTACATATCTGCATGTGTGTATAAAAATGTACATAAAACTTTCCTTTTACCATCACTGAATGCAAGTGAACTTAGTTTTTGGCATATAATAATAGCAGGGAGAAAGAATGCAGCTAAAAATCTTATAAGTTGTTGCATTAAATGATGAGAAGGTGCCACTGATCTCTTAATTGATAGGTATAATGTTAAAATATCGTCAAATTCCTGTATCTTTAGACTTAAATTAATGTGGCATATGCTATATTATATTATTTTTACACTTTGAAACTCACTATTAAACTACATGTTTCATACTGTAAATTTAAGGTAGAATGTGACTATTATTTATATAACAATACAAATCTACAACAGTAATTCTTACATTAATGTAAAGAACTGACAAGTAAAAGGAGAGAAAATGAAATAATTCCCCAGTAAGAAATCCTCAAGATGAAGGTCAGATCCTGTTCAAGGAAATCATCTGGTTGAGATCCTCTAAGCCATACCATACACAAATGATTTTTTTTTTAAAAAACTTCTATTCATTAATGCATCACAGCTGCACTAAGTGTTACTTTATTTTTCCATGGTAACATCTTTTCTGTTTCAAGGATTGAATTTCAGTTTTGGTAGCAACCTGTACTTTTGCCAATACTGAATATAATTCCTTGTTTTTAACATACAAGTGTTAAAATTTCTTGAAATAGATTCTTCCCCTGTTTTGATTTTGTAAAGATCGTGCTCTCTATGCAACAATCTATAATGCAAGCCCAATAAATGAAAGCAAAATTTATCACAAAATGAATCTCTTATTTTGTCTTTTTAACAATAAGCACACTTTCTTAAAATTGCACCAACTGTGACATCAACAAAATTTTCAAAAAGAAGAAAGAGTATTTGTAGTAATAAGTAGACTAAACTGACCTTGGAAACTGTAGTATTAATGGAATATTAAGTAATATTATAGCTGGTTTGGAGAAGTTGTCAACCCTTAACTTAAGAAGAAAATTAGCAGTCCCTTGCATTTACATGATCTTTAGGGCTTCATAAGATTTTGAACTATACTTGGAAACTTATAGGCAGTCAACTATACAAACTAAAGTTCCAAAATGCTCTTCAAGGTAGCCCCAAATAGCCTGCATTGCAGTGAATTAAATACAGTCTAATTGTGACTAATGCAAGCTACGTCTGCTGACTTGGCTGCCCTGCAATTTGGCAGTTCAAATCTCACCAGGCTCAAGGTTGACTCAGCCTTCCATCCTTCCAAGGTGGGTAAAATGAGGACCCAGATTGTTGGGGACAATATGCTGACTCTGTAAACCGCTTAGAGAGGGTTGTAAAGCACTCTGAAGTGGTATATAAGTCTAAATGCTATTGCTATTCTTCCATTAAACCAGACACACTGCTCTGAGATGCTCTATAAATAATTTTAAAAGCTTTATTAAGGAAAGCTTGTACTCTAGCATTGTTTTTGTTACACCTGATTATATACAACAGAATACATAGGTATCTAACCCTATGCTTACTTACCTTGAAAAGTTTAATTTGACTTCATCATTCCATGACAGTCTAATGAAATTTGGCTTCATTATTCCTCATATAAACTTAAAATGCAGACTTATTTCATAGAAATTTTAAATAATGGAAGATTCTAAAAGTACATCAAAATATTCCTTTCTTTCATCTCCTATCCACAATTTCTTACCTGAAGGGTAAGGCACTTAACTGCATTCCATACCACACTAATAAATTCTTTCATTCTTTCTTCAGGACTTTTGCTGCACATTTCAGCTGAACTCAGCATGGCTTTTACAGGTACTGATAATGGTCGCGATTCTTTAAGAAAGAAAAAGAAAGAAAGACCAAATAGCTTGCTAAATGGAGTACATGTTACTAGATACCTAAAAATCCCAGTAAAACCAAAATTAGTCCTTACTGAATCCTAGTTTTAGAGTTCACCAGCACTAATAAGCTCCTTTGTGCTCCAAATTTAGAGCTTATAAATGTCCTTAAGTTCTAAAACTCTGTTCTCGTACTGATCTTTTGATCATGATTTGCTTGGCTCACAGCCCATTCCTCATAAACTTACTTCATGAATGGAACATCTAAAAGGATATCTTTCTTTATCCTCTAGAAGAAAAATAGACCTACAGTAGCAATTAAGACACAACGGAAAAGAAAGGAAAATAGTTTACTTATCAGTATAGATTTGTGGTTATCCCTGGAAAAGACATTTCTTTAAAAAATAAAATTTAAAAAAGGAAATTCATAAGTATATCTTCCACACATTGTGTCTTATAATGCTGAGGCCTTTATAGGTCTTAAGGAAGCAGAACTCCATTGTCCTTTACCAAAACTATTTTTCTGGTTATATCAAGGGAAGTAGTACTGCATAGTTCGAATACATTATTCATTTTTAAGAGTGCTTACTTACTAATTATCTTCAGTTTTGGATAGGTTGAAACCTGACAAAGATGTCAGGTAGACCAAACTAAGAAAACAGACACTTTGAAGATATAAGGTATTTTTATTAGAACAACTAATAAATGCTAGCCAATAATAATGGAATCCTGCTACCTTTCCTCCCTCTCATCTGAGATCTTTTTGCTAATTATTTTCTTGGGCTCAAGTTCTGTTTATCTGATCATTGCCTTGATCATTATCTTTCCTCTGTCCTTCAAGGCAATCCTTTTTATCCATTATAAACTGTGATCTTCTCTAATGTTTCCTTGCCTTTTTCTATGGAGTTATTTTCCAGTAAGGATCTAGCAACATGTGTCATGTGCGAAGAAAAATATAACAGACAGTCTAAGGGAGGAAGCATGAGAAAAAGACTCAAAGCAACTCTGGCTTCATTCCATTAGATATACCTTGAGTGAGAGAACTGCTTTGAGAGGCCTTCAAAGGCTGCCTATCTCAAAAAATTCAGAACCACTTGGATTTCTAGAAAGATATTCATTATTGGTAGAATACAGAAGCAGAATTTTAAAAACCCATCAAAGCAATTTTCCAGATTAGTTTATATCTAGCTTAATTAAGATGGACTTGCTCTTAGTCTCTTTCAGATGCTTCTCTCCATGGACTGAGGTATCACTTCAGCACTACCAACTTGATGTAGCAATTAATGTATGCATTTTTTTAAAAGCTTAACTGATTACAAAACTGGATGGTAATTAGAAAAAAACTGAAGTAATCTTCTAGTAAATTTAACCTGGACTGGTTGGAGCCAAGCAAATCATGATCAAAAGATCAGTAAGAGAAATTCTTATAATTTAAATCATAAAATTATATACAAAATCATAAAAATTATATACACAATTCCAAACTGAATTAAAGCAGACACACCTGTTACAGTTTTTGTTTTTATAGGGCTACTGGCATATTCAGAAGCCTGATTGGACTGATGCTTAACCAATGGTGTGCTCCCAACTGACATCTCATCATCTTTTTTCCTTGTGACGGGTGTCCCGAGAGAGACAGATGCAGCCTATCAGAATAAAAAAAAAGGAAAGAAAAAGAAACACAATGAGTAATTCAGAATTCAAAATCAGCATAATGGAAATATTTTTTCATGTTACAGAAAGTAGTTAATTTTTTTTTATTAATAAATGAGTAATAAAATTGTTTAATTACAAAACTAAAAAAGCATGCCAATCAATACAAGTTACAGTATTATGCACTAGACCAGTGGTTCTCAACCTTCCCAATTCTGTGACCTTTTAATACAGTTTCTCATGTTGTGGTGACCCCCAACCATAGGAACCAGTGACTCGGTTCCTAAGACCATCAAAAATATGTGTTTTCCGATGGTCTTAGGCCAGGAGTGTGCAATCTTAAACACTCAAACAATCACTTGGGCCCATTTCCTAGAGAAAACAAAACACCGGGAGCCACAAAACCTGAGTGGGCATGGCCAACTCGATGTTACTCACTCCCACCGAGTCACTTGGCTCCCCCCTAGCCACAGCTTCCCAGGTTTTATGGCTGTTTTCTTTTCTATGGGAAATACACACATACATACACACATTTCTCCCTCTCCCCTTCTCTCTTTCTCCCTCTCCCATCTCTCTCTTTCTCCCTCTCCCATCTCTCTCTTTCTTCTTCTCTATCTCCCTCTCCCTCCCTAATCTCTTTGTCTCTCCCTCTCCTCCATCTGTCTCATTCTCCCTCTCCCATCTCTTTTTCTCTCTCCCTCTCCCATCTCTCTCTCCCTCCCTCCCTCCCCCTCCCTCCATTTCTCTCTTTTTCCCTAACTTCCTTCCTCTCCCCTTCTCATTTCTCTCCCTCATTTTCCCAATCTCTTTCTCCCTCTCTCCCTCCCTCTCTCTCCCTCCCTCTCCACATCTCTCTCTTTCTCCCTTTCTCCCCCTTCTCTCTCTCTCTCTCTCTCTGCTGAAGAACAATCACCAGCCATGGTGGAGGCCTCCCTTCAGGTGACCCTCCTCCCTCTCTCACAATCCCCTGGCCTTGCTGTGTCATCCCTCCCCCTCACATGAGAGGAAAAGGAGAGGGAGAAGGAGTTGGGTCGCCAGAGCCTTAGTGCAGGAGTGAAGCAGCCTTGTACCTCCCTTTGCACCACATTCACCCATTACGGAGCCTTCGCTTCTTGCCACTTCAGGTATGAGCTTGTGCCCTCCGCACTCGGCCAAAGACATGGAGGACACAGCAAGGTCATGGCTGGAGCCTTAGCGCAGGAGAGAAGCCACATCCTTTTGTGACCTGTTAAGACCCTCCTTAAGCGAGCAGCCAGCCACCCCATGGACACCTTTGCTGCACTTTGGTGCTCATTTGTGGGTGGTCTCCCCATATGTGCGAACCCTACCGGCCCCACCATAGCTGGCCAGGGGGTTGTGAGAGGAGGAGGGGGTCGCCCGAAAGGAAGTCTCGGTGGGGAAACGGGGGACAGACGGGGAGCAGGAGCACCACTTCCTGCCACCGCCACCTCAGACCGGACGATGAGGCGGAGGGTCGGCAGGGAACCTAGGAAAGCACACGGGAAGGTACAGGACAGGTACCTGAGAGAGCTGGTGAGTTGCGGGGGAGCCCGAGACGCGGAGCAGCGCTGCGAGGTTCTGACGCTCCGTCCCTGATGGAAAGCAGAGCGCCATGGCCAGGCGGCCAAGCGACCCGGCGCGATGGGCAGGGGCTGCTGGGCAGCTCTCCCCCCATCCGTTCCCCGTGGCAGCTGCTTCCCGAGCTCCACTGAGCCGCCTCATCTGTACTACTACAGGCCCCGCTTGTAGTGCCGGTCAAAGAAGTGGGGCTCGGTGCCAAGGGCCCGCACACCCAGGTGGCCGTGGATGAACTCCAGCATGACGCAGGTGCCACCCTTCTTGACGCCCACAATCAGCAGGTACGGGAGCTGCTTGGCCACCGCTGCCTTGGCCCAGTTGCTCCCGCTGCCCCCGTCACCCGCTGGCCGGACCAAGGGGATGGATGGGTGGTGGTCAGAGGGCAATAGGGCAGGTGCACCACTTCTGCAGAGGTTTCTTGCGGGTAGTAGAAGAGCCACACTCAAGACTCTTAGGCGACCCCTGTGAAAGGGTCATTCAACCCCCAAAGGGGTCGCGACCCATAGGTTGAGAACCGCTGCACGAGACCAATGCAGCACTAAACATATATGTACATTTTAGTATGTAATTGTTTCATTTTTTTCTTGACTGAAACTGAAACGTTACTTAAAAATAAAAAGCAATAAAGTTTAAACCTTTAAAAAAAGGATTTGTGTTAATTAGTTTTTCAGTATAATTGTGGTACAAGCAAAATTAAATGCATCCCTCTCTTCCTCTTTTCACAGGGTTCATTGATAAATTACTAATGTTCCAATAATTTCCCATGCCTGGGAATTGGATCAAAAAAATGGAATGTGGTATTGGTTCTTACCTGATACACCCCTTCTCTAGGCAGGTGGAGACAGCAGCCATGCGTGGGTTAACTCAGCCAGAATCAATAGGACTGGTCTACTAAATTGATGTCATCGTCTCTGAGGAGTGTCCTCCCGCTTTCTTGACGAAGGAGATAGGTAGACTGCTGTGCGATAGTCAACCACTCCCAGCCCTCTAGGTTCAGGTGAACTCCCCAACAGTCCCTCCGTGACCTAGGCCAGTCCCCAGAAGGGTGGGGATGGCTGCTGTCTCCACCTGCCTAGAGAAGGGGCGTATCAGGTAAGGACCAACGCCCCATTCTCCAAAGTTGGTGGAAACAGCAGCCATGCGTGGGACATACCAAAGCTGTGCCTGTCCCTGGGTGACAATGTGAGTGGCCTAGATGCTTGAGGAGGAGAGCACTTGCTGAAGCACACGTCGTCCGAGGGCTGCATCGGCTGATGCGTATCTATCCACCTTGTACTGGTGGATAAAGGGTGTTGGAGTAGTCCAAGTGGCTGCCCGGCCGATTTCCTCCACTGAGGCCTGCATGGACCATGCAGCTGACATTGCAGCGCTGCACATGGAATGTGCGGTAAGGTTGTCCGGAGGCATCAGATAAGCAGATATGGCTGACCTAATCCAGCGCCCAACCATTGGTGAAGATGCCTGAAGGCCTTTATTAGTAGGATGGAAAGAGACAAAAGGGGCCTTGGTGCGTATGAAGCGGACAGTCTTGTCCACATAGATTTTAAAGGGCACGACACACGTCTAGTGTGTGCCACTTGCGTTCGAGGGTATGAGTTCACCTGGGACAAAAATTTGGAAGGGTAAGATATTGAAACCGGTGGAAAGCCGAATTTACCTTGGGGATAAAGGTAGGGTCAATTCGAAGAATTACTTGGTCTGGATGGAACAGCACAAATCAGATCTGAGGGAAAAGGCCGCCAATTCCGAAACTCTGCGAGTCTACGTGACAGCTACCAGAAAAACTGTCTTCAGTGTGAGATGGAGCAACGAGGCAGATCGGAGTGGTTCAAATGGCAGTTCTGTGAGAAATTCAAAGACTTTGGACAGATCCCATGAGGGGAAGCGATGCTGAGATTAGATGCACCTTTAATGAAGCGTCTGACATGAGGATGCAAGGAAAGAGGTTCCTCGTGATGTAGAGATAGAACTGAGGAAAGGGCCGCTAGATGAAAGTCCCCTCTTGAGACCCTGCTGCAAGAACTCCAGGTCTTGGGAGATTGCGTCCTCAAGGGCGGTAATAGTTCGAGAGAGACACCAGGTTGTGAACGATTGCCACGTTGACTCATAAATTCTATTAGTGGATGGGCATCGAGATGCCTGAATAATCCAAATCACCTTGTCAGAAAGGTTAGCCGCCTTCAAAGCCACCCCGTCAGCCTCCATGTGGTTAGGTGGAGCCAGTGGAGGTCAGGATGATGAATGGAGCCTTGATGGAGAAGGGACTTGATCATAGGTAGCTGCCATGGGGGACCCATTGACAGATTGACTAGGTCTGCATACCACAGTCGACGTGGCCAATGAGGAGTGATTAGGATGATCTACGCCTCCTCCTCTAGCATTTTGTGGATCACCCTCTGTATCGGGGGAAGGGAGGGAACACGTACAGGAGACCGCGAGGCCACCTGCACCTTAGAGCGTCCGTCCCTCCCACGCCTGGTGTCATGTAGCAAGAAAGGTACCTGGGCAGTTGCTTGTTGACTCCCGTTGCAAAGAGATCTAGAAGTGGAGTCCCGTACCTTGTGGACAATTGTCTGAAGATGCGGCGGTCGAGGCTCCATTCCGCTGGGTCGATTGTCGAGATGTGTTCGGCGTGAAGAGAGAGAAGATGGGCCTCTGCCCAGGTTCCTAGGTGAAAGGCAGATTCCATGAGCGATACGGCTTTCGTCCCCCCCCCTTGGTGGTTGACATGTGCCTTGGCTGTCGTGTTGTCCGTTCGAATCAGCACATGGGAATTGCTTACCGAAGACTGGAAATGAAGGAGGGCCAGATGAATTGCCCTCAATTCCAGCCAATTCATGCTGTGAGCAAGGTCGGAGTCGGACCACAGGCCATGAGCCACCTGATCCTCAGGTGAGCCCCCCCACCCCGTCAGACTCACGTCCCTAGTGACTATGAGCTGTAGAGGTTCCCTGAATAGGGCCCCCTGAGAGATGGCCGGGGAGACCCACCAGTCCAGAGATTGGATCACGTCTGACTTTCACTAGGGAACAACTGCTGTTGGTCTTCTGGTACGGCAATAGAAACCACTGGAGGCAGTGGCTGTGAAGCCGTGGCCAGGGGACGATGGAGAAGCATAAGACCATTTTCCCCAGCAGCTGGGACAGTTGGAGAAGTGGAAGTGAGTTTCAACTTGTTGCACCTGAGGAAGTGGACAAGGCCATGGGAGTGGTGAGTGCCTCCACTTGTATACTGGACCCGTGCCCTTCCTGGCTGGTTTCGACCAGCAGGAAGGTAACACGCGGATGGATCCAGACGATAATTAACACCTCTCTCCGGGAGGGATCCTTCCCGCTCCTCCTAAAGGATGCAGTGGTGAGACCCCCTCCTGAAGAAACC